AGACATTTATTTTTATCCGTATGTTTATTTGTTTGTTTGTCATTTGATTCATCTGTGCAATGTTCTAGAAAAGCAAACATATTTACACATGATAATCCCTGGGAGAAGAATAAAACACCTACCAATTATATATTTTTCTTCTAATTTATTCAAATCTGTTAGCCACAAGCAACAATTAGTAAAGAATGACATTATATCTGATGTTAATATGCTAGTACAATATAAATTGTGTTTTTGTATATGAATCATTTTTAGGTTAAATAATGTAAAAACCAATTAACTGATATACGAGCAGAAATACCAGTGGTTGGAAATAGGAAAATGTCATATTCTTGTTTCAAATAGTTGTTTTTTTCCATTGGAATCATGAACCGATTGATGTTAGACCACCATTGAAAACCTGGACAGCCGTTTCGTCCTATTGCGGGACTCCTCAGCGATACGCACCCACGAAGGTCCTGAGTTCAAATCCTGTGTGAGAAATTGTAGATGCTCACTGCTGAGGAGTCCCATACTGAGAAGAAACAGCTATCCAGGTTTTCAATATTGGTCTTTCATCAATCGATTCACGACCTCAATCAAAAACTTAATCTCCACAACCCCATACTGACAAAAGTGTAATTCTTTAGCTAATTTGCGGTCTCCCTGACACTTGGCTTATTTGTGTAGAAGTATGATTTTCTATTTTATAGTATGATGTGGTCCAGTATGTCATGTATATAAGCTAATGAATGTTCCCAATATCTGACAGGCTTAATGGTTTCAGTGTAGTAATGGGAGCTTGTCTGCAGTCTTCACTTTCGGGTCAAGACTGGGGAGTTGAAGAAAGTATGTTTGTCAGCCGACCAATAGAAGTGAAGCTTACACCAGCCCAAGGTTATGTGTGTCTGTTGGAGGGAATCGTCTATCAAACCTAGAGGCGTTAGTCTATAGACGGAATATAAGACGCGGGGGTTATCCACTTAGATTCATCGATAGGAACTTAACACCTAGACAAAATGCTTAAAAGTCACCAACAGTTCAAAAGAAAAACACGGCTGCTAAAATCTTGAATAGGCGAATTTCCAAATCCCTGAATAAATCCTTCTACTCAGCTAAGCTCTGAATTGTATTCTCAAGACGGCCTACCATTCACGGATGTGTTAACGATAAAATTTCACTTTGGGCCACCTCAATTCGCATCGTGTGGGGCAGGTTAAATTGGCCACACAATGCATCTCAGAACATTACCCGGCGCGGCTTTTTAAAGGAGACTGCTAAAAAGTTACCAGTTCAACACAGGATCATCTAATCAACTCTGAACACATCGCTCCGAAGGAGTTTTCCTTAAAAATAAACAACTTTACACATTAATCTAGCCCCAAGCTTTATAAACAGAGTTAGATGGCAGCTAACAACGTAATCTAGGTTATGAGTTTTCTCCTATTTCAGATTCATTAGGTGAATATCCTGGTATCCCAGAATTGATGTTCACTACATGATTCGAACCTGGTAATGACTGCTTAAAATGCCATCGCGTTGTCCACTAAGCTACAAACTCAAGGTGGCCGTTGACTTTAGCACTAGGGTGAATTTTTCAATTCATTTTTTATTTTTACACATAAGACAAGTTATTCACTGAATAAAGTGATATGAAGATGTACACCGACCATTACTACCACTACTACTACTACTACTACTACTACTACTAAGCTTTATATTCAGAAAATAATTCTTCTACTGGTATTTTGTTGTTTCCTTTTTTACTTGAAATAATCACTCATCAAACTGTTGTTAGTGATGATGCTTCTACTTTCTTTTATCCAAGTCAAAGTTATTCTCCTATTGGCATTTACATGACCACTATGTTTACAGTTGGTAATGATTCATCAAACAAAAGTAAACATTTTATACCTCATAAATAAATAAACAGGCAATAAAACTGTATTGACCGGATATTTTTAAACACAGTGAACAGTACCTAATATATGTGGAATGATAAGGTCAAGGCAAAATCAGGTGTGTAATAGTAACTATGATTCATTGTACAATGAATGTAAATGTTAAGTAATCGTCATTTGTTATGCTTTGTTTGAATTCACCTTATGAAGTAAAATTTAATACTTAAGTAAAAATAATGGTGAAAACTGTTCTTTTTTAATAAATTATAATTCTAGCCATCAAGAGTGATTGGATTGCTGTTTTCCAAATTCAAAGCGGAAAACAGCAATCCAATCACTCTTGATGGCGAAACTCTGGAAGATGTAGAGTCCTTCACATACCTAGGAAGCATCATCGATGAACAAGGAGGTTCAGATGCAGACGTAAAGGCGAGGATTGGCAAAGCAAGGGCCGCACTCCTACAATTGAAGAACATATGGAACTCAAAACAACTTTCAACCAATATCAAAGTGAGAATCTTCCTTACGAACGTCAAGGCAGTTGTACTGTATGGAGCTGAAACTTGTAGAACTACTACAACCATCATCAAACATGTACAAGTATTTATAAATAGTTGTCTTCTCAAGATACCCAACATCCATTGGACGGATACCATCAGCAACAGCCTTTTGTGGGAGAGAACAAACCAGCTTCCAGCTGAAGAAGAAATTAGGGAAAGACGATGGAAATGGATAGGACATACATTACGCAAATCGTCAAACTGCATCACGAGGCAAGCCCTAACTTGGAATCGTGAAGGGAAGCGAAAAAGAGGAAGGCCAAAGAACACATTGCGTCGGATAATAGAAGCAGATATGAAAACGATGAATTACAACTGGACGGAGCTAGAAAGGATTTCCCAGGACAGGATTTGATGGAGAATGCTGGTGAGCGGCCTATGCTCCTTCACGAGAAGTAACAGGCGTAAGTAAGTAAGTAAGCATCCCATCCTATCCCATGATATATATATATCATAGGATAGGACTTCTCAACACAGTGATCGACGATCTCGCACCCTGGAAGCGAATTTTTTTAATGTTCCGTCAACTATCATATTACAAAAGTTGACAGGATTCATATCTGAAAACAATGGCTTTTGATCTTTTAATTTTCCTTTGTTTCTCTGCGATCTTTTTTTTCTGCTCCTACCACAAATCGAGGCCCCGTTAACAGTAAAAGATTCCTATCATTCCTTTTTCATACTCTAATGTTCAAGAGGGTAAAGGTTTGTGTTTGTTACTTTTATTTCTTCTTTCTAGACTCTAAACTTGTCACACTATTTAACTTGAGCTAGTATATACATTTAAGTCGTATTTATTATATTAGAGCTGAAAACATCAATGATTCCCATAAAATTGTTGGACTCATGAGCTATAAAGATAGGTTGGTGTAGACCTTTACGTATATCGAGACTCTGAAAATGGGATCTTTCATTTCGAATTCAAGGATTTAACTGAAAAACCTGACAACAGTTTATTGGCTGAACTCAAAATATCCTTAATTATTGTTTCTACTATTTGGTATTTCCCTATTATTGTCTGCCATTAGTACACTTTTTTGACTTAATGAAAAGGTATGATTTTGAACATATCGTACATGATCATTGAAATCAATATCTTACTTTAGTGAAAATTTAGGTTTTTATGGCTTTTTCTTCACCAGTAAAATAGACGGATTCAGAGGAAAAATAAAAGGGACATACTTAATGATCTACATAGATGTTCATGTTTCGATCACCAAATTTGTTTGTTTATTTTAAATGACTAGTACTGAACTATATGATACTTCATTAAAAATGGATATCAGTGAATCATTCTTTGAAGACTATTCCAGAAGTCGTGATAGAGTTAGCGTCAGTGGTAATGGATGACCACTAAATTACATAATGAATTCGTATTACTTTAAAACGCTGACGTTGAAATCTTTCTCAGTGGATTCATACTGCATAGCTTGTACATCCTGGGTTAAATGCAATGTATGTGAATCCCCAATACTAAGATTTATTAAGCCAAGAGAAAACAATTATTTATTATCAGTGTGGGGTTGTGGAGATTGTTAATTTTTTGATTGGCATTGTAAATCAATTGATGTTAGACCACTATTGAAAATCTGGAAGCACTAGACGGTCGTTTAATCCTAATATAGAACTCCTTAGCATTTCATATCCACAATTTATTGTCCATTCTTCTGGATCATCGTTTTTGAGTTACCAATATTCAAAGTTTTGATTTATGCGGATGAACATGGATAAATTATTAAGATAAATAGTATCAAAAGGGGTTCTGTTAAGATTGTAGTAATTTCAACAGTTGTGATCATGAGTCAAATGAAGCTAGACCCCCATGGGAAACCTGGAAGCACTGGACGGTCGTTTAGTCTTATTGTGAGACTCCTTAGCAGTGCGCACCCACGACCCCGCCACGCGGGACTCGAACCCAGGACCCATCAGTCTCACGCCAGGTGCTTAACCAACTAGACCATTGAGCCGGCACGCTGCGCCATAAACGTGTAACTTCAACTAATCCATGGAATTGAGGATACATCCACTATTATCACCAGTGGGTTACTACTTCACAACTGACCCGGTTGTCATAATAGTTAACCGTTCTGTGAACTAATTTATAAATGAATCAAAATCTCATGAATGGACACATCACTTCAATATAATTTTAACTTACTCACTGGTTACCCCATTACTAAATAAAGCTACATAACTTAAGGTATTTAGGTTTATATAGAGAAAATTTACTTACCTATTTAGATTAATTCAATAATGGAATATATTATTTTTCTGGTTAGCGTTTTTTTAGCGATTTGGTTTTCTACGGTATAGGGTCGCTAACCCCACGCTCAACCCTCCTCCTTTACCCGGGCTTGGGAACTCTACAACAGCTACAGGCAGAGTTAATAATGGAATATAGTTTGATAAATATAAATTAAAACTGAATCATAATTTTGACTGGTATAGTTTAATGAACATAATTCTTTTGATCATTTACCATTAATTTATAATTACATCCAAATAGAATACATCATTCATGATATTCCCTCTATTTCTTTTTGGGTGCTTTTAACCGTAGCTACTACCAAACTATGCCTAATATGATTAAGTCAAATCATGTGAATGATTTTATGAATGATCGTGATTTAAATCATATTAATTACAGTGGAATTCATCAAACAAATGGATATACAAATAAATCAAATAATTCTACTGGACGTTATACAATTTTATCAAAATCGACAACAATAAGAAATGGAACAAATAAAGGTTCTTATCATCCTGCTAGTCATTATTTTCAATTGGATACAACAAAACGTTCTCATTCACAACAAAGTATAGGATCAAATATTTCTAATGGATCTATAAATGTAAGTGATAACAGAGATTTATACAGTTGTAATTGTAATTTAGTTCAATATTAGATTTTCATATATTGTACTAAGTTGCTACAATAAAGAATTGTCCGGATATTCGTTTTTAAATGGTTGTCTGGAGGTGATTATTTACAGTTCAAGATTAGTTTTTTCTTAAATCAACATCATTATGAGAACTAATAAGCATTGGACAATTGTTCCATCCAAATGACTGTAACCGGGTACAGTATCCACCTAAAACGTTATGTATAATGGAGCGGTGAATATTAAATTTTGATAGAACTCGCTGACTAATTACATTGAAGTTGTTAGTTATGTTGGTTTCATTTGTTAAATATGATGGAAACAGATTAGCTTGCAAGTAATTGGAGACAATCCACAAAATAAATGTTTATTTGTTGTTCTTTCTTTGTTGAAACAAATTTAACATTAAACAAGATAAGTTTTTGATTCTTACTAGTTCTAAGTGACATAGCAACCAATTTACCTATGTGTGCAACTTATAAACCAATGAATATATATATATCATTTATATAGTTTCTTGATTTTAACGATTAGATTCGGTTTAAGCTGATACTTTTAGAAAGGATGCAGTCTGGGCTTGGGGAATTTGGATTTCTTGTCAAACTGTGCAAGATAACTCTAGAAAGATCGTAATGCAAATTGATCTTTAACAAAAACTGTACAATAATTAAAAAATTATGATGGTAATAGTATAGGATATACTTTATAGGATAAAATACATGTGTCAACATTGTGAATGTTACACAGTGTACAGCACAGAAGTTGACTTGATTTTTTTCATTGTAACATGATTTATGAAAGCTAAAATGAAAAACGTTCTCACCTGTTACCCATTCAGTCCGAAGTCCTGTATGAAATCTCAGTTTTTATTTTAGTCTTACTTCAATTCATATCGGTGTCATTATTAGAAACTCAAGATAATAAGTAGGTACAAACATTAAAAATATTTATGAATAAAACTTGAATCTACTTGTAAGTAGTTAGACTAAAATTATCCTAAATAGCATTCAAAAGATGGCTAATGGTTAATTTATTTAAGCTACCGAGTAGTCAAATTGATAAACTTCAAAGGTTCATGTGCATCCAAAAGCACTTTTAAGTTATTAAATTAATATGAGTTGTTAGATCTGGTATAGTGATTGACTTCAAGCTTGATTTTGCAATCTCATTCTATGCTCTTGAAAATCTACAGTCCTTAAAGTTTGGACAAAATTGGGGTGTAAAATATCTTAAATTATTTACTTCCAATGAAAGTCTAGTTCGGGGAGACAAAGTGTATCTTCAGAGTAGCTAATTAGCTTAGAATTCCAAAATCTGATCATAGTGGTAATAATTTATCTTCTTCGCTATGTATTCACTTAGTTATATTCAATCTAAAACATTGAAAAAATGTGCATAAAAGTAACAAATAAAGCAGAAAAGTAAAACATAATGAACGAAACTTCCCTAGAGACACAGACTGATAACTTTTGCACCGCGAAATTCACCAGTGGCTTTGTAGTAACCAGCACATAGCATTTTGATTGGTGACGTAAATGTTACAAAGATTTTGTTATTTATCAGTCAGGTAAAACCTGGGTAATTTAGGGAAGATCAGAAGTTATCATTAAGGAAACTATATCGCTTATTTATCATCACAAATCACTAACAAAAATTGATCTTTTTCACAAGCCTAAGCAAGGTTCAAACGTCTGAGAATATTTGGGCGAATTCATGAAATCCAAGTAACAATTTTGTCAATCCCCCTAAAAATTTAGACACTGTTCAGTATACTACTAACAATTTGACAGTAATTAAAAATATACATAAATTTTTTTATTTACCTTGTAAGTCGTTATTCACCCTCAGTTGTTGTTTAGGCTTTATTTAAATTGGTAAAGAAAACCATTTTCATGAAAACTTGATCGTTGTTTACCATATTCAGTCCTATTCCCACGTTAGTGATCGCTGATTTTGAATGGAATTTTATTTTATATAACAAAGAAAATATTTATTGAATGTTTTAGTTTTGGATAGAGCGTCTTTTAGATCATTCCACCCTCTGAATGGGTCTACAGAAGTAGCTAAAACCAAATCTCTTCCTGAAAAAATAACTGAAGGTAACATGTACACATCTTTGCGTCGAAGTATGAATTAATCATCCCAAAAAGCTAAATTTACACTGATTCCAACTTCACTTAACTGAGAGCTAGATTTACTGGTGAAGTCAATATAGTATACCCCCACTGGTTTCTTTTGATCTCTCAAAGGGCCTCGGATTTCTTTTGTCAGTACTAATTTAGTAGGGAACGAATGACCCGTTTCAGAACTATGTTGTTTTCATCTAAAATCTCGATAACTACGCTAACTGAACTTAAAGGGGTTACGACACGTAACCGTCTTTAGGATAGGACTTCCAATAATGTACTTCCAGTCTCCTGAGAACATGCTCTGTGTTGCAAACAAGTTATATGTTATATTTAAAGATGTGAAGTTTAGGGTTATTTGTGATGTACTCCATCAAATACCTCTGGTTTTAGTATGTCGAGTTTATTTAATAGTCTAAGGAGTTTAAATCTCTAGTAGTCACTGCGTTCATATTCTGGTTATCAAAATCTGATCGTTCCTGTGCCAAGATTGTATATACTCTGTTTTATACACTTTGCTATAAAAAGTCCAAGAGTAGATCAACTTCACCAGAATCACTCTTCACGTCATCTTGCATATTTATACGATAACATGCATTCAATCTATTTTGTATATCCACCTATAAGTTTTGCTCTTACCTCGTTTCTGAACTTTCTTTAAATGAAGCTCAGCTTTTAATGGTTTATCAATGGTATTCGAATGTATAACGACTGGTCTGCTGAAAACACCATGTGTATAATTACTTAGAAATTTGTTTTTAAAATGCTTGATTTGTATGTTGCTGGCACTTCATTTCTGACAACAGTTTAGAAAGCGGAAGATTATCCAGCCCAATACATATATAATATTATTTTGAAAACCATAATTACAGAATTCATGGCAGTTTACAGTCTTTAACACAAAATTACAGAGCATCTCAATAAAATCTGAGAACCATATATAATAAATCGTTAATTTGCAAAGTGTCCACCAATTGTCTCAAAATGCCTCAAACTTTATTGTCCCCGCATTTTCATACAAATTGCATTCTATTCCCACTCTTGTTTTCTTAATCTTCCCTCATCTTCTGCTGCCAGACATTACATTTCTGACTTGCATAATATACTACTTATATCAATATAAGCAGCACGCACCACACTGCGACCTCACTTGTAGAATAAGATACTCTTACAGGTGCTAGAACATTTAATGCATTTTCAGAGGAAGAGTAAGAATCCATGGGAGTGATTTTATCTCACAGACAGATTGCGGTAAACTATTCCAAAGTCTAGATAACTTAGTGGTAAATGAGTTCATATAGAAAGATGATTTGGAATATATTTGTCTCACTAATGACAAGGAGTTATAGATGCTGTAACTAGGAGTTTTTGTATATTGAATTACATCACTGGATGTAAATGATGAATACTTCATTGGTATACTTCATCGAAATAGTAGACATTGCCAATAAGCATTGCTAAATACATGTTCAAGACAAACATAAATTGACTTTTGTAAGAATCAATATTGATTGCGGTAATTGATAATTTATCTTAACAAAAACCACCTATTTTCCACGTTCTGACGTCAACAGATTGGATTTTATTCTAACATAATTAGTATAAATCATTTTTTATTGATTATTTCAATCTTCTCATTTATGTCCACGACTGCAATTGATCAGTCTCTTATTAGCATATGTGCATCTTGTATGTATTCCTTCAATATTGCCTGAAGTCATAAGCATTATAAACAGAGATGGATGGTGATAGTAAACAGTTTTTAAAAGTATAAGTTCATAATCTATGCGAAGGTTAACTCTATCAAGTGTCCTGTAGCTATACTTTTTTTTTCTATGGACTAAAACAAATTAATTATCAGGCAATAAATAAGAAAGATTAGTTCATCGAAGAGTTCTCTTTTCGGCGAATTCATTTCCAAAGCTGTAAAAAATGAATTCGCCGAAAAGAGAACTCTTCGATGAACTAATCTTTCTTATTCAATGTCTTAATGGGTGTATTCAGCTTATCAGGCAATAAACGAAACAAATCATTACTGGAAAATCAAATAAAGAATAGTAACAGATTATAATGTAAATATATAAACCAGAAACATTACCGTTTAAAATACATTTATGATGTAACCGAACTGGATTCAATATTCTCATAAACATAACTAATTTTGATTCTTACGATTAGCAACCGTTTAATAAAGTAACCGATGAACGATAAACCAAAAATCGTGTTTTGAATTTCATCAAAGAGTATGATCACTCTTTTAGAGAGCCTGTGTTCTGCTCTATAGTACAGAAGTCTATAACTTAAATTGAAAAAAAGGGCTGTAGGATAAGTTTGAAATAAATTTACAATTCATTTCAGAGAGAGAAAATTAAAGTCTTAGGATTAAACGGTTTAATCACAGAGAGGCAATCAGTATCATGCTATTTGAGTATGAAGTTCTGATTGAAACCTACTGATCAACTGATAAACTGATGAAGACTAGAGACTTCTCGTACGGGTTTATACGTCATTGGTCCGGTCGATAAGTTACTGTTCTTTAATTGGCGGTATCATGACGTCATATATCATTAGGGTGCAAACCTACAAGTTATAACAATATTGTAAACGTTATTGAAAGATAAGTTTAAAGCTTAATATCCGGAATTTCATTCCTGTTAACACATTCAGTTAAGTCGTTCACTGAAACTGTAGTGAACAAGAACACAAGTGGGGACAGTCAAACATATTAGACACGACATTACAGAGCACCTCAATAAAATCTGAGAACCATATAGTAAATAGTTAATTTGCAAAATATCAATCCATCGTCTCAAACTTCACTGTTCCCTTTGCAAATATCAGTCC